TCCATGGCGTTACTATAAAGGAAGTTATCAACACTGTTTTAATCCTATCTCGACGGGTCACGTGTCAAAGGCCATGTCATCGCGTTTTTTGACTTCCAGTCAAAATTTTTTGAAGTACTATTTTATGAATCTACGTCAATAAGTTTGGTATCAAATTGTAGATTATAATTCAAATTTTAATGTTATACTTTAGTTAATTTATTAATTTAAAAGTAAATATTGTGACACGTGGTATGTTGAATGCAGAATTGGTTAAAATTAGATGTTTCTGATGTCAAAATACAAAATCTACAGTTTCGTAAGAATTGGGAACTCAAACTACCGATATTACCAAGGTACAATATAAAATAAGAACGTCTTATCTTTTCTATTTGCTAAGATATCGCCCCTGTACTCTTGTAAGTGAATCAAACATAGTGGCCACCCAGCCCACCTCTTTCCATTTTTGGAAACAGCCCCATATATACACTTACTTCTATATATGACATGAATGATCAATCGAAAGCTCAGAATGTCCCCCTAGTGGTTTTCTCAGCCATTTTAACGTGTTATTGTGCTAATTTATTTCCTTTCACACAATATTTCAAAGGATGAGGTAAGTCTTTAGTGAGGTCGAAATTTCATATTTTTTAGACCCAAATAAAGCTTTGTTACTACACTTGATAAATTATAGTGGAATTCTATGGTATCGATATATTAATTTATGATTTTTTGGTTATTTAATATATATATAACCTAAAAAAATGTCTTTATACAGCCTTCACGTAGAAAATTTCATAAGGCTTAGCAACCTACGACAAGCGGCAAACGAGTACAAAGGTCGTAACTAGAGGAGATAATTGTTTGCTTTACTTCTTTATTTACTGTTCTATGTTTTAAGAAAAATAAGTTTAAAAACTTATTGGTAAAGTAATGTTTATTCATATATAATGTATGATAGTTGAAATGTGACTGTATTTTACAAAATACTAGTCTACTAAAACACAGTCAAGACAGGTCACTTTGTAAAGACCAAAGGCCAGTTAAATATGATTGGATACGCTAACACGAGTGCACGTGCGCTGCGTTATTGTAACCTGTATTGTTAGCCAGGAACAGCTGAAAAGTCAATATGATAAAAATAATATATATATATATATATATATATAAATGTATAACGTTATGAGATTTAAGCTATTTATTACTAAAAATGTGTGTGTTTTCGTGTTATAATTTGTAGTCATTCTAGAATGAAAAAAGCATAATGTATTTTTTCTAATTTTTATTAAACCAACCTGTTGGCCCGGCATGGTGGTTAGGGCGCTCGACTCACAATCTGAGAGTCGCGGGTTCGAATCCCCGTCCCACCAAACGTGCTCGCCCTTTCAGCTGTGGGGGCGTTATAATGTGATGGTCAATCCCACTATTCGTTGGTACAATATGTGTACAAATCTTCAGCGAGAATTCGAAATCTGTTCCCAGTTAAAGATAGGTTTAGTCCACAACACAGAAGTTGTGTAGTTTATGAATTTCGTTATCCGACGCGTAAGGGCCCTAACATCGGTTCCACAACAAGAAACCTAGGGGAGATGATAAAATAACTCAGTAATGATAAAATTCATACAACTCAAGCATTATTCTTCATATATCAAGACCTGCGATGTTGTAGCGTTTAAAAAATATGTTTAAAATTGTTGAAAATGTAGAGAACAAAATGGTATTGCAAATTAAAGAGACTCTTCTAATTCGGAAAAAGAAGCCCGCTCTGAACAATCAAGAAATTGTTACCGAGCTTTTGTTAATCTTATAAGAATTAAGATACTCTATATGTTCTTTTAGGTTTATTTTTAATCTAGACGTTTGTATTATCGTTTGCCTAGAGGAAGTTTTTGACGTCTCGTGGCTTAATAGCTAAATATATCTTAAAAGTTTGGGAAATGAATAGAGCAATATCAAGCCAGAGTTAAATTAGATTGTTGATTGGTTAATGAGTCTGGTACATTAATGAATTGATTATAAAATTAGTAAATTTGTTACTTGGTTTATCTGTTACTTCAGTTTCGTAAATTTTGAATTTTTATTTCTACGAAACGCTATAATGCGATATCAGGCGCCGACCATCTTAAATCGAGAACAAAACACACGTGGATACAGAATACATGTAAGAACCCAGGTACATTTATTTTAAACCCCAGCTAATGCCTATCTGTTGTGGTTAAAATTATAACCCTACTTTTTTTTTCTAAATAATATAATAAAGAATATGGGGAAATGGCATCAATGTAGATGTATTTTAAAATGTAAAGGGTCACAAACACAATACATCATATTTCTTCTGTGTTAATTAATTGTTAATTAACTTCTACTGGAAAAAAATACAACAAACTGATCAGTTTTATTAAATAAATGCAACTGAAATATCGTATATAAACGGTACCCTAAAAAGTATAATACGTACGAGAAAAATTAGCAAGTAAGGAATTGTTAGCGCTATTTGTGAAGTAAGGCCTATCCTTAGTTTTTGTTTGATTTTGCACAAAGCTAAACAAGGTCTACCTGCGCTACCTGTTCCTAATTTTAAAGTGATAGATTAGAAGGAAGGCAGCTAGTCAACACCACCCGCCGCCAACTTTTGGGCTACTCTTATCAGACCAAATAGTGTAATTTGACCGTCATTCTTATAACGCGCCTTAGCCCAATTTGTTTGGGCGGTAACGGGACACGAACCACAGAATCTCAGCTCCACAGAGCGGCACACCATTCAACGGGCCGTACTCGGCCGCCTATTATTAGTTTGTGAAACATTATAAGTTGTAAGTTGAAGAAATAAAATATTATCTTTATTATTAAGTGAACTGGAGTTTACGTCCTTTTCATCACATAATCGAATAGTACCGGTCCAAAATTATTGTTGCGTCATCGAGGTCACGTGACTGGCCACATATTTTCCAGAACTATCCTGTACCTTGGCGAATGCTCTAGTATTTACTAGATGTAGGGTAGGCTGGTATATAAAAGAGGGTGACAACGTGACGGGACAATAATGTGTGTAGGTTATGAGTAATTGAACTGCGGTCAGAGAGAGACGTATTGTTGAAGTTAACGTTCGTTCGTTATAGTGTTTGTTATAGCGCGACTGTTGAAAATAAGTGTATCGTAAAGTTGTATTCGGAAAGAATAAACCAGTTTTATTAAGTAAGGACTTGAGTCGCTAAAGTTTCGTCGGAACGAAGTTACGGAAGGTTAATTAACAAACGGAGACGTAACAATATAAACTTTAGAACTTTGATGACGACAAATATTTTCGAAACTTTGAACATTTGCTATTAAAATCTCTTTCATTACCCATTCATCTGCCCTAAAACTTTAAAAATGTTGCA